CGACTTGAAGTGCCCGAGCAGATTACAGTTGTGGCAACGGATCTTCCTCTTGTCGAACTTTTTCTTCTTTGCCTTCTCTGACTGTTCAGCGATGTCCTTTGCGGGATGGTACTTTCCGCCGCTACCGGACGCCTTGTCGAAATTTTTCTCCTTGGAAACCATTGCCTGCCACTGAGCCGCGTTAGCATCACACATCCTGCTTTGCGTCATTGTAACTCAGTTTCATTCACTTGTCATGCGCCTTGAAGTGACCAACCAGATCATTCAAAGTGAGAGTCTTGATATCAAAACATTGCTCGATCGCTGACACAGTCTGCATGTAGCGCGGTGGAGCGGCACGTAGGAAACGCCTAACCACGGAGATGTCCTCCGACTTTTCTCCAGGACCGCGAATCCCGTTTACCATCGAAGCAACCCTCGCGGCGAACGCATCCACCGTCTTATCTTCTCCCATCCTCAGATTCTTGTAACTCTTCAGCAAAGTTTGCAAGTTCGCCTCGTGCACACGCGAGTGCCCTAGATGCAACGTCTTGAGCGTATCCCATGCCTCCTTCGCTGATGTCTTCGAGATAAGATGCTGTTGCACGTCCACCGACATCTCCGAGCAGATGGTCGTGATAGCCTGGCTATCCTTCTGATACAAGGCACAACCCTTCAGGTACTCCTCACCGCCAGGGTCGACGGCTTCCCATAGCTCATTGGCCTCGAGCGCCCACTCCATCATGGTCGCCCACACCATGAAGTTCCCACGGTCGAATCGTGGATACTCCGATCTCGCTGGAGCAGCAATTACTTTAGCCGCACGAGAGTACTCCGCCAGCTGCTTGGTCTTCTCGTCGTCTGACATGATCTTCCGTTACTATCAGATCAACCTAGCTCTGGTACCAATTGTTGGCCCAGTCTTGACGCCGAGTAATTCCGGCGACGGCAATATGATCGATGATGAACGACGATGACGAACGAAGCTTGCTGACAAACTCGGCGAAGTTCCTTTACGCCGAGATGCACCGCAGTGCAAAGCTAGCAATCAATCCTATGATCGTCTACTAATACTAGTACGTATGAGCACTTCTAGCCTGAAGCGTTCCAATCGATCTAGCTAGCTCACGTAACCAGCACAACACGACGGAATCAATCTGGATAGCCACACGCACGTATCGTGCGTGGTTTCTGTATTGATCTCTGTGGTACACGTTTAAAGAGGTGCTTGCATGTATATATAACAGCTAGGACTAGTTAGATAACCCACACACGGTTTCCTGCTCCTAATCCTACTCAGCTACGTACATGCAAGTCCTACTTGCTGATGTCTAGGAAACCAACACGGACACCTACGCCGTGTTTAGTTCCAACATCCATGTCTTCTCCCCGGTCAGCCCCCATCGCGCCCCTGCACAGACTTTACTTTTTCTTTAAGCCTACACATACTTTACTTGAAGAAGAAGAAGAAGAAGATCGGGATGGAAGGAGGACGGAAAGGATTTTCCTATTTGAAGCATTTTGCGTCAAGTTGTCGGGGCGCCACACATGCATCGACCGTGACGAGCCGGCCCAGTTAAAAGGATTTTTATTTTTAATTTTATTTTTCTGTTTCTTTTTTTTACTTTTTCCCCATTTCAGTTTTCTTTAGCCTCCTTTTTTCATTTTTCTTTTTCTTTTTTCATTTTATTTTCAATTTCATTTTTTCTTTTTTCTGATTCTTGTTTCTTTCTTTTCTTTCATTTTTATTTTATATCAGTTTCCTTTTTTCTTTTTCTGCAATGTTCAGAAATCCACAAAGAGAATTTAGAACTGCAAAAATTTGTTCACTTCTTATACAAGAAATGTTCCAACAATTTAGATATAGAATGCCTAATTTTCAAATGTTCGGATTTTTAGAAAATCGTAAAATGTTCCCACTGTCAAAATTTGTTCACAATTTCTTAAAATGTTCATGTTTTTTAAGCTTTGTTTGTAATTTCAAAAACAGTTCTCACTTGCAAGATTTTTTTCACAAATTTAAAAATGTTCATGTTTCCGAACAATTTTTAAAAATGTTCCCACTTTCAAATTTTGTTCACAAGGAAACACGAACATATTTCATAAATTCAAAAAATCTTTGGAATTATAAAAATGTTCAAGTTTTCCAAATTTGTTCGCAGATTTTGGAAAATGTCCGTGCTTCCGAAAAGTATTATATCTTCAAAAAGTGTTGTCAGTTTCATTTTTTGTCCCTGATTTTCAGAAAATGTTTGTATCTTTTTTAAAATTCTTCATAATTTGAAAAAATGTTTCCACTTTCAAATTTGTTCACAAGGAAACACAAACATATTTCGTAAATTCAAAAAAAGTTCGGAATTATAAAAATGTTCTAGCTTTCCAAATTTGTTAACAGATTCAGAAAAATGTTCGTGCTTTGGAGAAGTATTATATCTTCGAAAAGTGTTGTCGTTTTCAATTTTTGACCCTGATTTTCAGAAAATGTTTGTATCTTTTTTGAAATTCTTCAAAATTTTAAAAAATGTTCGCACTTTCAAATTTGGTTCACAAGGAAACCCGAACATATTTCGTAAATTCAAAAAATATTTGGAATTATAAAAATGTTCCAGTTTTCCAAATTTGTATACAAATTGAGAAAATTGTTCGTCCTTGCAACAAGTATCATATCTTCGAAAAGTGATATCGTTTTCAATTTTTGTTCCTGATTTTCAAAAAATGTTTGTATCTTTTATAAAATTCTTCATAATTTCCAAAAAAATCTCATTTTTTATTTTGTATATTTTTTCAATTTTTTGAGAATCCTAAAAAATGTTCACATTGTCAGAAAATGTTCGAGGTTTTAATTTTTTGTACAATTTTGAAATGTTTGCGTTTCAAAATATATTTACCTTTTTTTTGAAATAAATCAAGTTCAAAATTTCAAAAGAAATTAATTTGTTGTTTCTTATAGTTCGTATAGGACAAGCTCCCATGCGGACATAGACATTCAGGAGTTATAGTTGGCAAGCGACCTTGTTGACTTGCAGGAGGTACTTGGTTCAATCTGTCACCGACACTTTAGTTTTTGGGAATTTTTGCGACATTTCAGTTTTTGCCACTGTCGTTGGTTTCTTTAAACATTGCGCTGCAAAAGTAGCACAAGAGGTAGCCTGGCGCAGCGGCTAGCACAAATCCTGTACCTTACTACGTAGTCAGGGGTTCGAATCCTCAGCTTGCTCAGTTTTTTTTCACGTTTTTTGACCTCGCGAACAGAAAATGGGCCGGCCCATGTGAGACCGCCCCTATGCGAAGCATCGACTCTTCGCCGCAATAAGCGGCGAGTAGGAGCTCCCACACGGAAAGGCT